TACAGGAGCTTATTGGAGGGCTACGAAAATGTCTCAATAGAAGATCTGGCCACAGTCGGACTACTCAACTGGTGTCTCAGCGTCAACATACTACACTACACGAAGCTCTTGAGCATAAAATCAAAACGAGAACTTGTGTGGGAACTGGGAAAATTGATGATGAGATGGAATCAGCAGCTAATTGTGTCAAGACTCGAAAGTTATTCATCCATTCCAGTTTGTCAGTAACGAAAATCATGTTGTCGGGATTACGATGTGACAGGCAGATAGTACGATGATGTCCATCCAGTCGGGAGTGTGGATTGAGTTCCCGCCAATGATATTGGTTGGTGGTCGCGCTAAAATCACGAACTGCTTCAAGCTAGAATTCACGGGCCATTGAATCGTCCTTTAGTGGTTGATTGGCATACGAGCTGGCATTGTAACGAGGAAGGGCCTGCGCTCGAAACCCAGTGGGTAGGTCCTGGTGATGATTCCAAAACTCTGGTGAAACAGCTATCCAGTAATCCCTGGTTCTCAATGGTTCTCCAAATGATATCGGTCAGGAAGCAAAATCGAAAAAAATGATTATTGTTAATAGAATACGGTGCAAAATATGTGCATGTGATAATATGTACAACTGTGACACTGAACTGAACAGCAATATTCAAAAGTAAACGATTATGAATAACAACGAATATGAAAAGTGATGAATCCTCATGGGTCATGTCCATATTAAATTCTACTGATGTTGAATATAAACTTCATATGAATGACTGATAATCCACAGGATGGGCTGGGGGAAGATATATTGAGGCAGAAGGAAATGTGCATTGTGTGTGTGAGAGAGAGTGTGTGCAGGTTAATGACTACGTTTAAATAAGAAAATAAAAGGTTAGTTTATGCAGATATAATAGTTAGGGTAAGGGAATTTATATCTACAGAATGGCCGACGTAATAAGGTATTTATGAATTTTTAGATTCCATAGGATATCAGAATGACAGTATTGACTGGATCTGTTTGTTTAGCATAAAGAGCATCGGTTGTTTAAGGCGAATTGCAATAGCCTCTGCTGTTTGCTGGAGTATTCAGTAGCCGGATGCTTTCGACAATTTATTGGTTTATTTACAAGATTGATATTAGTTATGATGTCTCTTCTAGGATGAATCCCTCATCCAAACAAAATCTAAGCATTAGACTCTGTTTGTTTGTTCATTCGATCGAATAACCGTATTTCACCGAAATTTCGGATACTCAGACTGAATAATGAACCTGGAAAGTTGAAGCGACAATAACCTCAGTGCCAGCAGAGTATTTGTGAGAAAGCACCAGTGGGAAACACAAATTCTCCCCAAGGTCTCGTAAAGACCCTACCAATTCTTACATTGAGTCTTTTATTCAGAGACCATGAATGGCGCCTCTTCAATGTGTCTCTCATATCGGGAAGCTTCATATACGAAACTCGCCAGAAATGTCTCAATAAGGGATTTGGCCGTAGTTGAATTTCGCAACTGGTGTCTCAGCATCAACTCATTAAACTGCACGAAGTTCTCATCACAAAACGTCTGTAGGAAGTGGAGAGATTGATGGCTGAGGCGTGCGTGTCAGGTGAAAACAAGGGCTCCTTATGGCAATATTCAGGAGCTGCCGATCTTTTCCATGACATAGGCAACAAGAATCACGTTGTTGTGAATACAATGTGCAAGACAGGTGGCACGATGACTAACAACTTTAAAAAACAGCTGTGATGCTGAACAAAGAACATTTAACAGTGCGAAGGCAGTCACCCAATAATTTAGGAAAAGACTCATCCAAAGACGCCCATGCGTGGGATGATAGACATAACAGTGAATAGGGAAACGTATGTATTCTGAAATGCAATGAGAACAAATGGAAAGAAAGACTAATAAGTGATTCTACATTGATTGAATGTGACCACGATGTTATGCAAGACAGGGGACTCAGCACAGCTGTCAACAACTTAGAATGTAATTCTGCAGAGAATAACGTGAACAAACGATATATATGATAAAAAATTATCTATGAATTAGAATAAATCCCAATAGTCAGTGTGATCACAGGCAGTAATTTCACCCGAAATATTTTCAAAATCAAAAGCTTATCACTGTGTATAAACAACAATTGAAATATGATTATAATTCATTTATCTGTTCCAAAATGCGCAAATGCCTAACAGATATTAATAGAGAGCATGCCCACATGGTCACGGTGTCAGTATTCAATATTGACGATTACAGTAATTCATGGTTTCTTATTAACACCGATGCATTTGAATGGCTGGAGGTTGAAAATTAGTTGAAAACCGACACACTTCGCTCAATCTTTTGTGTTTTCCAAAAATCATACTTGTTCATTCTCATATCAAATGTTACTTGATTGCAAATAGTACTCTTGATGCAGGATTCAACACTCAACATGCAATACAATATTGAATCTATTGAAGCCAATCTATGTTTGCCTGTTATTTAATCACTCTGAATGTCTCATTTCTGTGGATATGTCAATACTGTTAACACGGGTGTATCACCTGAGAATGACGAATCCTTCCTTCTTCATCTTATTCTTCTTCTGATGGTTTTAGTCTGATCGCCATCCTACACGGTCTCTGAAACCCACTGATGTCTTCAGAAATAACCTCAGTGTTCATCAATATATATCCACACACAAATCATGTACTTTCAATATGACTCCTACATTTACTTCCACATGATATCGCGAAAACGGATATGGTACAATTCAATTCAAACTGCACAGTGCTGTATGTAGATTATCGCAGTTTTTAACGACAGGTTCGGGAAAGTAAATGGAGAAAGTGACTAATAAGGTGAATCCAATTTTATGAATTAAAGATATCCTACAATTCTCCAGACAACGTTCTAAACACTGTTCACTTTTCACAATCAGCTCGAATAATACTGCCACCCATTATTAGTCTGGTTGTTCAGATAACAACACCTCATCCATGAATCCGAGTTTTCGTCTAGAATAGCAACGTTTAAATCTATTTACATGGGTTTATCAAAGCAATTTTTCGCCTGTTACTTTCTTAACAGCTAGACGATGGTGACTTTGTGCTTGAGTTCTTATATTGCATAAGTTTATTATGGATTTCCATCTGAAAAATTGCGTCGGACAAGAAAACTGAAAGACTAGGAAAGTAGCGCAGGAATATATGACCTACATTTCATCAAAGACAAGCTGGAACAGGATAGGTTTAGAAATCCTTGTGAAGCGGTAACTTAAATTTCAAGTCAAGAAACATTCACCTCTTGACTCTTTCGATATATCTATCTCAGTCACTCTTTATAAATAAATAATGTTAGAAGTGGCTATTCCGATTCACCCATGAAAGTGCAATTGTCCTACTTCGGAAAATGAAATCATCCAAGCGATATCTCCGCTTAGCCTCAAGCTTTCCATTCCAATTTTATCACGAATTACTCAGATTATGACAAGTCCATGAAACAGAGGAATTCGATTCAAAGTTGTTTTCATAGTTTTGTTGGGATCATTCAATAAACCAGATACACTGTTAACCCATACTACGTGCTTGGAATGAAATAATTAGCATAAGCAACTGTCGGCCATTTGAGTGTTGAGAAATTCGAGAATAACTACGGTTGTTCTCAACCTATTATTCATTTCAATCAATAAATTCAGATAAAATGAAACACCTTATGAGTCCAACTCAGACACTGTTTTCTGTAAAGTTAATGACGGCTTCGCAATTGAACGACCAAGTTCAAAGAAGACAATTACGTGGAGAACCCTCTAAATGAACCAGGAATCAACTCCATTGTTTTAACACAAATTGCTTCTTCCATTCGACATAAGCGTCGTTCTTCGGTCAATAGCCTTCTCAAATGAAGTAATTAGTATATACCCCCTCACTGAATTCTTAGATAACTAAATTTGCTTACTGTTACAATGTGTTACATACATACATACGTGCATACAAACAACCACATGAGAACAACATGCACAATAAGACGATTATGTGAAAAAAGTAATTTTGTGTGAAGTGGAATCAGATTTAGAGTGAGAATGGACTATGATCCTTCAATATGTAAAAATGCGTCAATAATCATCAAAGAAGTCGGAATATATATATATATATAAATGAGAAAATACGTGAGAATATTCTCGAACGCACGAAAATTCGAAGCTCGGAGGTGCGACAAGTAAGTTAATTTCAGTTATATCTCATCTCTCATTTGCTGCCAATTTGATTTATTACTGAGTTTGCTCAAATATGAATAGTAAGATGACGATTTTAGTTTGACTTTGATTATGTTCGAGGTATTTCACCTGAGTGTGAATATAGGAAGAACGCTCAATCACATTTAATTGGGTTTTATGGATCAAATCAATGTGGAATGTTAGCGTGTGATGATTAGATATCTTTTATTCTCAGAAATCTGTGACGTGTGATAGAGCGAACTGATGTTCGCATTTATCATCCTCAGTCTTGTAGCAAGGTGTCATCGTCTGATACTTGTATGCATATATTGACTCTGTATATATGGCCAAATGAAACCAGTTTTTCTCTGATGATGCAGAAGAGAAACTCCAGTAGGCTGTTTCCTGAAAGCTGATATCGTGTATGAGAAACACAAATGAGATTTTCTTCAACCCACTCAATTTCTTAGAGCACACTCTTCTATTCGCAAACAGGTGTATTTCTCAAGTGTTACGGAGCCTGAATTATGTTCAAATAATCTGACAGTCATATCCACACCATGTTTTCGGTTGGCGTATTCGGTAACTCTAATCTATGTGTCCATTTCCATCATGTATATTCTGAGGTGGTCAAGTTACTTCTGCGTCGTTGTCGTCTATCATTTTCTTCGTCAATTTGCAGCCCATTGGAAAATGTCACGGCTTTATGCATCGTATGGCAATTCAGATTATACCACCGAGATGTTACAGCGAATCCCTTTTCCTGACAATATTTGGGTAAGATGCAAATGGATTGATGAGTGAGTAATTTTATTCTTAGATCACAAAAGATACAATTATTATGATAATGGTGACAGCTTTTGTTGTCCTCTTATTTACTTTCGTGTAAGAATAGATAAAATTTTCCAATGAAATATTATCTTGGTTGTAGGGACGTGATTTGGAGATTCTTCAAAAAGAATCCTTGGGTATATTTTATTATTATGTAAGTTCTCTGCTCAACATTATTTATCGAATGTTCGATTGAATTCATCGCACCTTGACAAGTGGAATTCATTTGTGATACAGAGCAGTAATCCACTTCACAGCACACTCGATTACTAAATTAGCATTTACTGTATTGTCAAGAAGTGACAGTCCTGATTTATATTAAAGCCTCAGGTTTTGAGAGAGTCTGGTGTTCATCTCTATTCTTATTGTTGATTTCACATTTTGCTCCAAGGATTTCGAAACAGTTGGTTCATAGAATAATCACTGGAATGAATTTTCCAAAGTAGAGTATTTGTAGAATCACGATCGCAGAAAATCTGCCTCCAGCAATAGTGGACATCAGAATAATTAATGACGTCCAATAAGAATCACACTAAAATTTCGGCATGGAGATTATTCATATGGTGACATGATGCAAACCATTTGTCAAGATTTTATTCGATAATTTCGCTAAAACTTCTGATCAGCTGATAATTCAACGTAAGTTAAAGTCATATTTGTAAAAATAATTATTGATACACAATTCAAACCTCTCGCTCGACAGATTGGAAATGATGGAAGGTAAATCGTCCAAGGTAAAAATAATAGTGTGCATTTTGTCCCTAATATCATTGACAACATCAATACAAGCGGTCCAGTGAAGAGTCTCTTTCGAATGAATTCCTTTTCTTTGCTTTAACAGTCGCATTGAGAAAGATCCATCAGTAGGTTTTTCACAGGGAACGACTAAACTTCAACGTTAACAGATGGAAGAATCGTCACAAGATGGTTGGTTATATTAATGAGTGCATATAAAAAGTTGAATAATAATAGTAATAATTTTCTTTGTTTTTCTCTATGCATCCTGAATAAAACCACCTGTTAAAATATGTATCTCACCATTTTATAACGGTGGCTATCAGATTTTCCATCCACTGAAATGCCAAATTTCACTTGTATTTCTGATTGTTATGATCATGCAATTGTATCACTACGTGTAGTCGCCCATATATTGAGGTAGTTTTCAACGGAAGGATGCTCACTTCACTGAGGAAATGAATGAACAAAAATGTACACAGTTGGTTCTCTCTTCATATGGAACAACGCTATATCACACGACATACTTCAGATTATCACTCAACATGTAAATCCTGTAGGAAGATAAAATATTTTGGAACGCCGAAAACTTCTCCACTCTGTTTTCTTATATTGCATGAAATATTGACTTGTTATTATTGTATAATTATATCTCCCATATTCGACTTCTCATTTGCATTGAATACTAATAGCAACTGTGGATGTGTGTTGTGATTCTTCTCTTTGTAACTGTTCAGAACCTTGTTGAATTCTATTGTGCAGCTTAAGAAAGTCAGTTCATCGAGAAGAGACTCTCCACTGAACTCCTTGTACTGATTTTGTCAGCGATATTAGGGTCCATATGCACTCATTTATTTATAGTTTAGATGTTGCATTTTCCACTATTTCCAATCTGTCGTCAGAGATATTGGAATTATTTGTCAATTATTATTTCTACAAAATATGACTTTTTCGTACTTTGAGATATCAGCTGATCAGAAGTTTTAGCGAAATTATCGAATAAAATCTTGACAAATGGTTTGCATCATGTCACCATATGAATAATATTCATGACGAAACTTTAGTTGGATTCTTGACACATGATATTGATTATTGTGATGTCCATGACTACTGAAGACTTCTGCGTTACTAGTGTTCTGTGAAACGGTTTCCAGATATAGTGTACTCAATAAATTTCTTCTCAGTGTCTACAAATTTAATCATTTGCTTTGATCTTAGTGAATCGTTGTCTCATCTTGATAACCACGTCTGATTATGTTCAGACATGCACTGGGAAGTTTCGTATTTTATTTGACGGTCAGTAGAACTAGTCACACAGGACCAAGTTTATTTATAAACAACCATGGATGAGGCCTGAGTTGTTTGTTTACACTTTCCGCATTCGTCGGACTACTGAGGACTGGACAGTGGATCAACCTAAGTCAGTTTGCAACCAATTTCAACCTTCTGTGGCTTACTTCGACTCCAGGTAATAGTTGGTCAGCCAAGTTAATTCGGGTCTTAACTTCAGTCACTTTGGTGACAAAGAGATTCGCCGAATAATAATGACAATGATAATAAGGCCATCTGTCCGAATGCGAAGCTTTCTGATGATATTAAGTTTTCGTCTATCATCTGGTTGTCGTCCGACAAACCAGTTAAAATACATCAAATTATACGAATAGTCTTCAACATATTTGCAAAGCTTAACACTATTGGGTATGTTGTTTATCAGGTGAAGATTTTCATCTAGGACTCTACATTTAATGATTTCCAAAGGTGTTATCTACGTATCTCATAGCCTCACGCAGTTGCAGCTGTTTTGAATGAGTGGATGCACAGATTGGTCAGTGATGGCGATACTGGTTGGTCCATTACAAACTATCTGTTTCACGTGTGGATCTCTCCTCTATATTTGAACACTATTTGATCTGAACACACTTCTAGTGAATTCATAATTTCTTCTGTGCCTGCAAGAAATCGACCGCATAGCCCACTGTCTGAAAATGGTGAATGACGAAAACTTCAAAATATTTCATCTCATCCAATATAAATTGATGCCATTCTGCTGTAAGATTCATACAAATTCCATACTCATTATATGGCTTGCATTTCATATACATTCGGTATTCAAGGAGTGTATGTTAAGGGGTTGTGTTTTAGAGAGTTAGTAGTTTATGAAGATAGACGTTATGGATGATCTTGTTTGTAAATATTTTGAAATTCATATAATCCCCACTGATGGAAACATTTTGGTGCAGGTCATCTCTGCAGTGACATTTCGATTTCCTCGTTTATGAACTGAGATATTTTGATTGTTTCAGCTTTTCATTCTTTGCAAACTGGCTGTTCACTCTGTCTGGTCGTCTATTTCTCACAGTTCAGTGCTACGGTTTTCCGTGATTATTTTCTCACCCTGTTCTGTTGTGTTTTCAGCGATTAATGTCCAGTCAAATATTGATCACAGTTTGCATTGCGACAAATTCCCTTCTACCAATCATAGAATATTTTCGATTTGACAACAACCTTAACTAAAGTCGCTTTGTCTAACCTTAAGTTAAATTATCCTCATTTCAAGGGATCATGAGAAAAAAAAATTTTCAAACCCAGCAATCTCTGACTTTCATTTTCCTATGTCATTTGCGAACCACATGCGACGAGTTGTTTTCACTCATTTGTCGACTCAGGAAAGAGATCAAGCCAAGTACCGTAGCATTTATGTTTTCCGTTGCTTAGAAAACGGTGAGGTTTACTACATCATCAAATCAGAGATTTCCGCCTACAGTGAAAACGAACGAGTGATTTTATGAAACACCGGGCCAATGAAGAGGGTGATAAATTCATAGTTGACGTCGCAACCGATGAATGGCATCCATTTACCGAGATAATCACACTGAAAACCATTTCTATTGAAAATGCAACTTCTGAATACTTGATTATTATGAACTGTGACGCACTAACCAAATAACGCACAATTCAGATTAACTGTGTAATATCTGAAACGAATTGTTGATGTTTGTGAATTCATTTCAGAGGAGTCGGTCTCTTTGTGTTACTCCTCTTCGTATTCGTGTCAAATATTCGATCACAACCAATTGGTGTCTATGTCATGCTTTCAATTACAGTAAGTGTCATTTTTTATCACTGCTAAAATTTGTGAGGATATAGACTAACATGTTTTTGACTGAATAGGTGTCATTGGTGGTGGAATTTGGAAGCGTCTACACACACGAATACCTCGTCAAAGTGATCATCTCTGTGATTCATATCACACACCACTTTCATTATTTCACTTATTGGCGATGTAATAAATGACGGCGTGGTTTTACTACTTGACCTGAAGGCTTAGACAAGTTGTCTCTTAGAAACTCTCAAATGTGGAAAGGTAAATCCACCTGTTGCATTAGGAAAAAGTGTATACTGAAGGACAGTTTGAAGATATGAATAAACTGGAAGTCTCGGTGAGTTGATTCTACATGACCCGCCATAGGACAATCGACAGTCTACTTCATTCAAACATTTGAATGAATGAACACCTAAAACAGATTCGTGAGAAAGCAGATGAAGCGTTTTCTGAACAGAAGTGATATCTACACGTTGACGGACATGTTTCGGACATCTCAAGTGACTCTCCCGTTGACGTGTCAAATCCAAGAGAGGGACAGGCAATGCCAGCTCCGAAATTCAGACTTTGATTCTATTTGACAACAATGAGCTTCATTAGAATACATCGTCATCATCCTCAACGATGGATGATGAGGTAATTAAATTTTCAACTGTTGAAACCTTAGCCATTCTAGTTGTCAGGCGGTGATTAGTCGACCCATGCAGCTAATTGCAGTTTATGTAGGTAACTAATGTCAACATGTCTAGGATGACCCAGTGTTTACAAGATGACAGTGACTTCGAACGAATTGTTTATTTGTGATTGGTTGTGAGTGATGAGAATTCGGCTCATCTGTTTGTCCATACAGGGTTGAGAATTTACTGTTTTTCTGCAGCAATTGTAAATATGTGTGTTTATATAAATGTGTATGAATCTATCCAGTGTGATCACATGTTCTCATTTCGCTTTCTCCTTTGTCATAGATTGTGCTGTTGTCTGTGGGATTCGCTGCTCGTTTGTCACCTGTTGGATTGAAAGCTGGACTCATATCTCTGGCCTTTATACTTGTGGTGGAAATTCCAATAGTTGCGTTGGCTATGCTCTTGCCTCGAATGAATCTGATGGGGGTGATAGTGTTTTACTCGGTGGCATTCATGTTAGCGATAGTGGTAGTCGTCTTGAGCGTTTTATATGTGTTCTCCAAGCAAGATGTAAATGTGTGATTTATTATTTTTATTACATGAATTATTTGCCAAAGTTATTTGTCGAAACTTATGAAATCTCCGCTTCATTCAGAAATATCCCACTGCATCCGAATCCCAGTATTGATTCCACACTTTGGAATCTTATTTGATTCCTCCCGTGAGGAAGAGCGAAGCAGGGACAGCAAGTATAACATGATGAGATGACGTCATTTCGTGAATGAAACGAGAAAGAGATTTGATAAGGAATTGGTTTGAGCTTTAAGCCAGAGAGCTACGTGAGGCATGATCTACTGTCAGTTATTACTGTACATAAAAATCCTGGACAAGTGGAAACTATTATGCGATGCTTTGCATTGAAACATCTCTGCATTATATGAACACTGTTCACACTAAGACGAACGTTGCTCCTATCATTTCACAGTCTCCTCTCTGTTGACTACAGCCTCAACAGTACGAAATTATAAATCATATGGAAGATTTCAACACACTCCTAGTGTGGTGGTTAAGAATATTCGATAGGAGTATTAGTGAAGAATTTGTCGAATGATGAAATTTATATTGAGAGAATATTAAGGGAAGCGTGACAGCGGAAACCTGCACTGCTCCGATTTCCTCAGGCGGTCTCCATTAAACGATTCAAATCAAAACTATGTGAGCAGAAAGAGACAGTAGTAGACCTTCGACTATCCTGCCCATTAAACTTACAAAACCAAGTTTGCGAAAGCTAATTTTCGCTAGTAAGGTAACCGATTGCATCTTCAATTTCATGCATGTCAAATATTGTTTTCATTCGAAACAGCTTACAGTGAATTTCTTTTCAAGAATATTCTACTAGTCATCATTTGAATAGTCAACACTCTTGACTGTTGGGCATATTCGACAGCTTACATCCTTCTGAGAAAATAACACTACTACTTATCATCGCCTCAAACCTACATGAAATCTTCCGTGTACTCCATATTTTTGGATAGATCAGGTTTCAGCCAGCTGAGTGTAAGGCGTGAAATGATAAAGAATGGCATCATTTCATCCTGATACACTTGTCGTTCATGCTGTCTCTTCGAATTCTAAATTTTGATTGGAAGAGTGATTAGCAATTTGGTACATTAGCAGCTAACTTTGTCTATAGTCAATTTCTTTGTCACGTATATGTATGGAATTTGGCTCGTTTGGCGACAATTCACTGGTGTGACTGTCACATTCCATGGAATATATATTGCACTAGAAGGGATGCGACTGTAGTCGAAGTGGCCTAGTGAATAATGACATTTCTGTTGTCGGAAAAGAAATGTGAAGTGATGCAGTAGTTGTTTATATTGAGTGAATGATATACATTCGCATATTTTAGCCTCACCACATGCCGCCAGTGTCATTGACAGGTGTGATTCAACTGTCAGCATGTTTCGATAATAGTCAATGTCCACAGATATCAGATCAGTAGATATGTCAATGTTGTAATTTGCATAGATTAACAAAGCTTGTGTGCACCTCTTCTCTCATGATTTATTCCTTTCTCCTCGTATTTCCCACGCAGATAATTTTAGCTGTGATGGTATTTTTCCATGCGTTATTCATACTCTTCGTAAGTTTATTATTTTATCGCTGTATCAACCATGTTTATTTTGACGAGTAAATTACACGAAGAACATCAGTTATTTGATAGTCTCAGAATGACAGTGTGAATCACAGTATCGCTGAGTCGATTTGTGTTAATATTACATCACGAGGCACGTGAATCTATCCACGATATTTGAGAGTGCATTTCCAGAGTAGATGATTTTGTACACTGTTGCACTTGATGGATTTGTAAATCTTTGAAATTATGGTAAAGTCCTGCTTTTCACTGGAGTGTAGTAATCACGATTCGAATTTATTCGAGTCGTAAGTAATGCGATAACTCTCTTCTTGTGATTGTCGTATATGAATTCGTGTTGTGTGTGCTTAGGAAATGGCTGGATTATTAAACAGCTTGTATTATTTACATTGGATGCTATTTGTCAATGATTTCCTAGTCCCTCACCAGCCTTACGCACTGACATTAAGGGATTTCCAACAACTTCACTGCGCATTTGAGACTGACAAATCATAAAATGAATAATGCCACACTTGACTCGTCATTCTGAAACTGGAGTCTTATTTAAGGTGTGAACTGAATTCCCACTACAACACTGACAACAAGCAGACATCTGCTCGTGTTTGATCTGAAAGAAGACAGTGAATGTGTAAACAATTCTTTATTGATTCAGGTGTCTATATTTCATCGAATGAAAACAGTCTCATCACATTGGCTAGATAATTATAATTAATTTGAATTGCTGTACATTTGAGATGATCGCCTGTATTCACTCATCTCTCTCTTTCTCTACATTGTAGACATTATTCATCTGTGTCAATAAAGACGACAGCATCACCTGGTGGATGGATTGCATTGCCGAAGAATTTACCACAGCGTTCATCATTTGGCTTTGTACGATCAAATTGTTCGTCCTACTCGAAATTAATTTGGCATATTTCTTCAATGAAACAAAGCACCAGTCTGATTTGTAAAATACTTCTTTCGGCTTATCTGTATTCGCCTACAGTTGAATAGGAAAATGTCACTCTGTAGGCATCTTAATATAATTTTGATTTTTGTGATTTCTAGTTCCTCTTCATGACGATATGATAATCACTGGTCCTCTTTCTCATATGAAGTTTGTCATTACTTGCACAGACATTCACATTGATATTCATATTCTGTAATAAGAAACACAAACAAAATATACCTGTAAACATCAACACCATCAAATGCACATTTATACATATATATCACTGTTTTTCAAACTGACTCTACACTGAAGCATTTCTGAGAAAGCGGAGAAGAAGAAGAGGAGTAATACAGTGGTCAAAATACGATTTACCTTTTCTGAATACAAAAATATCTTGTCAATGATAAGGTTTTAATGTGAGAGCGGTCATCCGATTTCCAGCCTACCATACAACAAGCATAAGTGAGTGCCTCAATCGATCTGCGTTGTCAGAGATATATGGACTGTTCAGAAACTCACACTTTCATATAATTATGAATGAGAGATACATAGTTGTGAAATGTTTCAGTGGAGCACGAATGCGTCACCTGAATGCATATACTTGAAGGCTTCACCAAACATTTGAGCATACGAATAAGAATTCATTAGTGATGTTTTTGTAAGCTTTCGAAATCAATGAAGTATTACACATGATATGAGTAGTCTCTTGTGTGTGTGTGTGACACCATGAACGATAAATGTTGTGTTTGACAATGAATGACTCAGGCCAATGAAGATGTTCGCAATGTGTCTATGTGAATTCATTTGGCTGCAGACAGGATATTGCAGAGATATAATGAGATATCAGTAGGACTAGACATCTACTAAGTCGGACAAGTTAAAATGTTCGAATGTGCTTGTATCATATGAAATGATCCCCTCCTCCCTAATATGCAATCCGCTTGTGAACTTGTTCAGAACATCCCCTGCAAACTGGCGTATTTTTAGTTATTCGAGTTAGTCATCTCACCCTGGTTTGATTATTGGATGTATCACAAAGTGGAATAGTTTCATCGACTGAGTGATGATTCAAACATGTCACATTTGACCACATGACTTCGAAACTCGATTTGTATATTCTCACTGTCTTCTACCCATTTTGTTATAAGGTTGAATAATAGAATTCTCCAGATGTCTCGGATAGGTGTCGAGTATATCGTATTGAGCCAGTTCTCGATTGATTAGTTGAATACAGCGTCAGGTTTCAAGCCCCACCTCCACACTGTTTTATGGAATATGATTAGCA